GGGCGTCGGCGATGTTGTTGGCGCCCTTTTTGTACGTGATGGTGTACCGAAAATTGGACTCGAGGAAGTCCAACCACCGGATTTGTCGCGGGTTGAGTGTCGGTTGCGTGCGCATGTACTGTAGCGATTTGTGGTCGGTCCGAATTGTCACGTCGGCTCCCGTGAGGTAGCAGCGCCAGGTACGAAATGCGTGGACGATGGCCAGCATCTCTTTGTCGTGGACTGGATAGTTGCGCTCGGGTGGCTGCATCTTGCGTGACTCGTAGGCGATGGGTTGCAGCCCTTGGCCGAAATCCTGTAGCAGGACGGCGCCGACGGCGAAATCGCTGGCGTCCGTGACGACTTCGAACGGTCGAGATGGGTCGGCGAGGCGGAGTACCGGGGGCGAACCCAAAATGTTTTTGAGGGCGTCGAAGGCGGACTGCTCCCTCTCCCCCCACCTGAAATCACTGTCGTGATGCAGCAGGTCGGTCAGCGGCTTGGTTATCCCTGCCATATTAGGTACAAAACGACGAATATAGTTAACAAACCCCAAAAAACTTTGCAACTCAGGGATATTAGTAGGCGGCTTCCACTTAACGATGGCGTCCACCTTACGCGGCTCGATCTTGATGCCCTCGCCAGAAACCACATGCCCCAAAAACTCCAGTTCCGGCTTTAGAAACTCGCACTTAGACCTCTTCGTAATCAGCCGATGCCCCTGTAAACGCCGGAACACCTCCTCTAAATCCCGCAGATGGTCCTCTTTTGTTGCGCTGTACACCAGGATGTCGTCCAGATACACGATGACTTTCTTGTCCAGCATGTCCCGGAAAATTCCGTTCATTGTGAGCTGGAATGTTGAGGGCGCGTTTGTCAGTCCGAACGGCATCACCGTAAACTCGTAACTGCCGTAGCTTGTGCGAAAAGCTGTCTTCGGGCAGTCGTCGGCGAACACGCGAATTTGGTGGTAGCCCCCTCGCAAGTCGATTTTCGAAAAATACCGAGTTCCGCGAAGTTGATCTAGCAGATCGTCGGTTCGCGGGATCGGGTAACGCGACTTTATCGTGACCCGATTCAGCGCCCGATAATCAATGCACATGCGTAGGCCCCCGTCCTTCTTCGGCGTGAACAGTATCGGCGCTGCATACGGCGACGTGCTTGGCCGGATGAAGCCCTTTGGCGAGCAGGTAATCCAGCTGGGCCCGCAACTCGGCGAGCTCTGGTTGGCTGAGCCGCCACTGTGTCCGCATAGTAGGTTGCGCGCCGGGCTCCAGCTGGATCCGATGGTCCTCAGGTCATTGGGGGGGCAAGCCATCCGGGAGGTCATCCGCGAAAATTTCGGGATACCTCCGAATTATGCTCGCCAATTCTTCGGGGACTGCTGCGCAGAGGGTGTCGATGTCCGCGATTTTCTCGGAAGCTGCCACTTCGTACAGATGTACCAAGAAGGCCTGCGCTCCGCTGTTCATCGCACGCGCCATGTTGACCGCGTTGACACGTGTCGTCACCGGCTCCGGCTCCGTCCATTTCGGAAGCGTCGTCTTCCCTCCGTATCCTCGCACGACGCACGCCCCAGTCGTCCAGTCGATCGTCGGATTGAAGCGCTGCAGCCAATCCCTCCCCAGCAGCACATCGCAGCCGTCCAGCGTCGTCGCCAACATTTTCATGCCAAACCCGAATTTGTCGCCACACCGTATCCGAATTTTTCGCGCCTCATCTCGGATAGCTAGTGGTGTCTCGTCCACCAACCTTGCATCGATCTCCGGCAGGCACCTGGTCAGCTTCACCCCAATTTTTTTGGCCGTTGCCAGGTTGACGAGACTGTGGCTCGCCCCACCGTCAACGAATATTTTTATTTTATAACCGTTAACCCTCCCCACCACCAGCACAGGGTAGTCCACGTGTTCACCCACGTTATTCGTCCGGTTCTAGGCGATAGCTCTGATCGGTACCACGACCCGGTGTGGATGGTGATTGTCGGGCGACAGGGTCTCGTCAGTAGGTGGCCCTTCTGCTACTGACTCGTATCTTTTCCCGACCCTTCTCCGTCGTTCTTCTTCCCCTGCTTAAGCCTCGGGCAGTCTTTTTTCAGGTGGCCCAGCTGGTTGCATAAAAAGCACGGCCCAAGGGTTCGACTTGGTGCATCCATGCCGTTGATCGTGGGCTGCTGAGTCGATCCACGAAATCGAGGGCCCTCCCGGGAGCTCGATCTCGCCCACTGCATCAGCGCATCCGTTGACTCGGCTTCCCGGACGGCGTCGTTGAAGCTGCGTGGCCGGGTTCGTCGGACCTCGTACTGTATCTCGTATTTCAGGCCCGCCACGTAGCGATCCAACCGCTCCGCATCGCTCATGTCGTCCACTTGGTCCGCCAAGTTGCAGAATGTGCTGGTGTAGTCTTGGACCGAAGTCAGCTGCTTCCAGGCACGCAATGCGAGTAGAGTCCGAGGCGGATATGTGCTCGAACCTGGTTCGCAAGGCGGCGCCCCACTCCTTCCATGTGCGTATCGTGGCCGTCCCGAAAATTGATGCTGCTCGATGCGTGACAGGTGTTGAAGTCCCGTCGTTCGCACGTGCTATCCCCGCCGGAGTCCCTTCGTCCTGCAGCGTTCGCCTCCACCACTCCAGCGCAGGTCCTCGCAACAGTGAAACTGCGAAATTAATGCGGGTGGCATCGTCATAAATCATGGCAGCATTGAAAAACACCTCCACGCCGAACAACCATGCAGAAACAGTGACGAACTTGTCACTTGGGTTAAACGGGGGCGGGTTTGTCGGCTTGATTTTAACAAAAGCCGTTGCTGCCAACGGGGCCGTTGGCATCACTGCTGGCATCGCCGTCGTCGTCGCTGCTGCACGTGTCGGTGCTGCACGCGACTGTTGCGGTGACTGTTGCTGCTGCGCCTGCCTCGCCTCGTCCGCTTCTATCTCGCCTTCCAGCTCGTCCCAGACCCGCTCATGTGGTGCAGTGCTGCTACTTGCGTCGTCCACGACAGGCGACTCCTGGCGCGCTTCACCACGCGCCTGGTGTAGTTCGGCGTTTTCCTTCTGGAGACGCTCCATTTCTGCAGACATCGTCTGCATGGTGGCCTGCATCGTCTAATACAACATGGCGGAAGTGATTACAACGTCTGAGAACACAACGAGGCCTAGGACTAATATAGCAATGCTAGCTAGGCCGAGGTCGCGGAGTCGCGAGATAGTTGGGTACCGGTTCGGGGTTGGAAAACCCGAAGGCGACGCGGTAGTGGCTCGGAAGGCGAGGTCGGCGGACCGAGCCTGGTTTTCCGAAAGTCGGGGTTGTACGCGTACGGTGTGACCTAGTAAGGAATCCAAAAAATTCCTTACAGTCACCCTGTTTGAGTGGGCGAAGTGGAGTGACGGGCAGGCCTCTCGATGTGTTTTTGGGCACCCTGCCAGAAGCGAGTCGTGGCCGACCTTCACCCTGCCACTGCAGTGTGCCAATCGCGGCATACTCAGGAAATGGCAGGGTGTTTTGTATTTTCTTGTCGGAACTGGCAGGGTAGAAATCTCGCTAACACTGCTGAGCTCTGCAGACCCGCTCTGAGCAGGACTTCGTCAAATTACAGCCTGTTCCGTCACTGAGCGAGCTTAGCGTGTTAAAGGGACTTAACTAAGTTTCCAGCTTGTCCCAGCGACAAAGACAAAATTCGGGTGTGTTTCTGTGACTTCGCCGAGTTTCGGAAAGCTTGAGTGACTTCGCCGAATTTCCAGTATGTTTCAGACTTCGCTGAATGTCCAGTGTGCTCCAGTCACTTGGGCGAATTCTCTGAGTGCTTCAGTGACTTGGCCAATTTCCAGTGTTTCAGTGACTTCGCTGAATGTCGAGTGTGTTCTAGTGACTTGGGCGGATTTCCAGAGTGCTTCAGTGACAGCCAAATTTCCAGTGTGTTTCAAAGACTTGGCAGCATTTCCAGAGTTTCAGTGTCTTAGCCAAATTCTCTGACTCGAAATTGGAGAGCACGAGAGTTCGACTCTCAAGGACTCCTTAGAAGGGTAAAAATGACTTAGACTCGGAAAAGGCAGGGCTGACAGGATGCTCTCACCTGGAATTGAAGGGTACGGTTTTACTCATGTCAAGGCGTGTCAGGGCGGTACAAGCGTCGAAGTCAATTTCAGCAGGGTGACCTTAAAAATTCACTCTGAAAAACAGGCTAATCAGGGTAAAATACCCTGACTTCCTGGGGCCTAGTGACGGGTTTGGGGTTGACTGTGCGACACATTCCCCATTTTGCCCCTGATTCAATTGCAAAACAAATTGCTGGGGACTTGACACTTTCGGGAATCTGAAACATTCTCTGGTACTTCAGCTTCGGCACCGAGCCAGTTTCCGTGCCTAGAAGGCTTGGAAACAACCTGCGACTTGTTTTTTTCTCGCACCCCTCGCTTCACTCCTCGTCAACTTCTGTACCTCGCCATCCAATCCCAGCCTAGCACTATTCACCAACTGCAAAACAGAAAAAGTACTTGAGATCCCAAATGCCCATTATGGCCATAATGGCGATGATGCCTGCCAAACTGGGCCCTAGTATCAAGGAACACGCCCTTGAAAAGATGCTTCTACGATCTCCGGTAGAATGCCGGATGAAGCATCAAATGGTGCAGTGCGGAGGGGTCCGCACCAAGTGCTGTGGCAACAGAACAGGGCCTAGAAAACACCGCGGTTCGTCATTTCCTCGAACCCCCACTTCCCGTTCCAAGGTAATTCCAGCTCGAGCGCCCAGGCGTGAGGCAATGTGGACTGCCAGTGGAAATTGCGTGAACCACTCTTTCTCCCCCTGACGCGCTGTGTTTCCGTTCTCGACGCCGCTAGACGTCCCGCGATAATCAGCACGCTCGCATCGCCGCCGCTATTCGAGCCCATACGCCACTCGACCATCCGCGCTCGACCATACGCCACTGTGACGTGACGCCCGCAGCTCCCCGCTCACTTTCAACGCCCCCCCACCTTCCCACTCCGCCCTCTCGCCCTCTCCGCCCTTCCCCGCTGCGCCCGCCATGCCCGCGGCCGGTGCGGAGGAGCTTCCGCCATGCGTGCTGCTGCGCAACTGCACCATCGTGCAGGCGGGCGGCGCGGGGGTCGTTGCTGACGTGGACGTGCGCGCGGCGCAGCACGTGCTGGTTCACGGCAACCGAATCGCGTTCGTCGGCGACGCGCTGCCGTCCGACCTGCTTGCGTCGTTGACGGCGTCGCGGCCGCCAGTGGTGAGCCTCTTCGTGTTGCGCTCCCCTCCATGCCGCGCCTCCCCTCCCCGCCGCGCCTCCCCTCGCCGCCGCGTCTCCCCTCCCCGCTGCGCCTCCCTCGCTGCCGCACCTGCGCCGCCGCACACGCACCTGCCAGCGCTGAAGGCCCAGCGGGTGTGCCTCACCTGCCCTCTCGCTTCGTCCCTCCATGCCCCCCTCTGCTCCTCCTCCACATGCACCCCTCGCCTCCACCCTCCATGCGCCTCCCCCCACGTTGCCAGGAGATCGATCTGGCAGGGCGCTATCTGCTCCCCGGGCTGTGCGACGCGCACGTGCACGTCACAGCGGCGGCCTCCGCGGATCTGCACGCGCTGGCGGCGCTGCCCGTGTCGCTGGTGGCGTGCTGCGCTGCCAGGGGGCTGCACGCCATGCTCATGCGGGGGTTCACCACCGTGCGCGATGCTGGGGTATGCGACCAGGGGCTGGCTCAGGTGAGGTGAAAACAACAGAGACTCGGTCGGGGGTGGTGATAGGCTCAGGTGTTATGGAAACAAGGAGAAAGCAGCTTGCGTTTCCTCTCGTTTTCTCGCCTTCCTTACCTTCTTAGCTTCACCCATTTTTGCTCCCTATACTTCTCCTCCCTCCCTTTCCTCGACCCATCCTTCCTCCTTCCTGCCTTGCAACCATGCCTCCTTTTTATTTATTTTTCCTCCCTCCCTCCCTTCCTCCCTCCCTGCCCTCCTGCCCCTCCTCCCCCGTGCAGGCAGTGGAGGAAGGCACGGTGCAGGTCCCGCGCATCCTCATCTCAGGCCATGCGCTCTCCGAGACGGGCGGCCACGGGGACATGCGCAAGCCCTCCCACGACACTCTCCCCGTCGCCGCCCCCTCCTCCTTCTCCCTCTGCGCCTGTTCTGCCGCTGCCTCTGCTGTCGGCGGCCTGGGCATCGGCCGTGTCTGCGACGGCGAGCCGGAGGTTCGGCGGGTGGTTCGGGAGGAGCTTCGGCGGGGCGCTCGGCAGATCAAGGTGATGGCATCTGGCGGCGTATCATCACCGTCGGATCACGTGGAGAGCGTGCAGTTCTCAGAGGGGGAGTTGCGGGCAGCAGTGGAGGAGGCAGAGGCGCAGGGGACTTATGTGATGGCGCATGCTTACACTGCTCGTGCGATCAAGAGGGCGGTGGCATGTGGTGTGCGCAGCATTGAGCATGGCAATGTGCGTGTGGAGAGGGGAGGGATGAGAACAGGTGAGGGGTGGAAGCAGGTGAGTGGAAGACCGTCACTTTTTGGAGGGGGAATGTGGGCAGCAGTGGAGGAGGCAGAGGTGCAGGGAATGTATGTAATGGCGCACGCTTACACGTCTCGTGCTATCGAGCGAGTGGTGGCGTGTGGTGTGCGCAGCATTGAGCATGGCAATGTGAGTGTGGAGAGGCGACAACAGCGATGGGGGATGCATACGGTCTATCACGTCATATGCTGTTCACATCCCTGCTTATCACTGCTGTGCCCATTCCTGCTGAGAATTCTCAAATGAACCTTGCTGTGCATGTGAGGCATTACTTGCTGTGCATGTGAGGCATTACTTGCTGTGCATGTGAGGCATTACTTGCTGTGCATGTGAGGCATTACTTGCTGTGCATGTGAGGCATTACTTGCTGTGCATGTGAGGCATTACTTGCTGTGCATGTGAGGCATTACTTGCTGTGCATGTGAGGCATTACTTGCTGTGCATGTGAGGCATTACTTGCTGTGCATGTGAGGCATTACTTGCTGTGCATGTGAGGCATTACTTGCTGTGCATGTGAGGCATTACTTGCTGTGCATGTGAGGCATTACTTGCTGTGCATGTGAGGCATTACTTGCTGTGCATGTGAGGCATTACTTGCTGTGCATGTGAGGCATTACTTGCTGTGCATGTGAGGCATTACTTGCTGTGCATGTGAGGCATTACTTGCTGTGCATGTGAGGCATTACTTGCTGTGCATGTGAGGCATTACTTGCTGTGCATGTGAGGCATTACTTGCTGTGCATGTGAGGCATTACTTGCTGTGCATGTGAGGCATTACTTGCTGTGCATGTGAGGCATTACTTGCTGTGCATGTGAGGCATTACTTGCTGTGCATGTGAGGCATTACTTGCTGTGCATGTGAGGCATTACTTGCTGTGCATGTGAGGCATTACTTGCTGTGCATGTGAGGCATTACTTGCTGTGCATGTGAGGCATTACTTGCTGTGCATGTGAGGCATTACTTGCTGTGCATGTGAGGCATTACTTGCTGTGCATGTGAGGCATTACTTGCTGTGCATGTGAGGCATTACTTGCTGTGCATGTGAGGCATTACTTGCTGTGCATGTGAGGCATTACTTGCTGTGCATGTGAGGCATTACTTGCTGTGCATGTGAGGCATTACTTGCAAATGAATCTTCCACATGTTGCGCTTCTCACCCGCACACCCATGAACCGCATGCCATATCTCTCACCCGCACATCACCCCCCTCACCCCCTTCATTCCATTGCTTTCACGGCAGATGCTGGACGAGGAAGCAGCCCACCTCATGCTGCAGAGAGGAAGCTTCCTGGTGCCCACGCTGGTGACATACGAGCGGATCAAGCAGGCGGGGCAGCAGAGCGGCATGGACGGCAGCATCGTTGCCAAGGTACGTCGTGACTACTTGTGGGTTGTCCCAACAGGATTCCACCATTGCTGCCAAGGTACGCCACCTAAGTTCTCGGCAGAGCGGCATGGATGGCAGCATCATTGCCAAGGTGCGCACTAGTGTAAAGGCCACTCAAAAGTCACCAATGTCAGTTAGTGGTGCATGAGGCACGGTCAGTGCAGGCCTTTGAGTTGAATGCCAATTTCCACACTGCTCTTCTTCCACATGCTCATTGCTCGTGCCTCCCACCTCACCTCCTCTTGCCGCCTTCTTTCCACTGAATCGTCTGTGTGGAGCAGGTGCAGGACCTGCTAGAGCGGGGGCTTGAAGCCGTGGCACTGGCTGAAAGAAAGGGCGTGCCCTTAGTCTTTGGCTCGGACCTCCTGGGACCCATGCAGTCGCACCAGCTGCAGGAGTTCGTCATCCGCAGCCAAGTGCAATCACCAGCATCTATTCTTCGGTCTGCTACAACCGCTGCCGCACGACTCTTTAAAATGGAAGGACAAATTGGGGTTGTGGCTGTTGGTGCGCTTGCAGATTTGATTGTGCTGGATGGCAATCCGTTGGAAGACATAACAATATTGACTGGTCCGAATAGCTTGAAGCTGATTATGAAGGATGGGACCGTATTTAAAAGGGATATTTGATTAACAATACTTTCGTTACTAGTTGGAAGTAATTTCGTATAATCTATATGAAATGTATCAACTCGCTCTGGCTCAGTGCAAGGAATTTTGCCTAATTACTTACTGAGGCATCTTATACGCGTACAACTCCAACTTTCGGAGTTCCCAGACTCGGTCCGCCGACCTCGCCTCCAAGCGTCCCTCGTGTCGCCTTCGGGTTTTCCAACCCCAAACCTGCACCCAACCTTGCGCGGTCCCATGATCTCGGCCTAGCTAGCCTTCGCTATATCTGTGCTAGGTCTCATTATTCTCGCAGTTGTTGTAATCACTTCCGTGATATTGCATTCTGCACACTCTGGACCTGGCTATTGCATTCTGCACTTGGCTTCACTGGGTCGTTTCCTGCAGGTACCCAGTGGAGCCTCTGGCGGCCAGTCTACGGTCTCCGCCAGGCGCCTCGTGAGTGGCACGACACACTGAGGACGACACTTGCGGCTCTTGGGTTTGCTCCTTCCACTGCTGACCCGTCGCTGTTCCTGCGCACCAACACTTCGCTGCCGCCGTTCTACATCCTCGTGTACGTCGACGACTTGGTTTTTGCCACTGCTGACACTGAGGCACTGGCCCTTGTGAAGTCGGAGCTGCAAAAGAGACACACGTGCACAGACCTGGGTGAGCTGCGTGTTGGGCTGAAAAAGGCCCTTAGAGGATCTTTGCAGGACTAAACTCTGGTAGGAACAATGTAATAGCGGAAGCGTTTCTTAGTGGGAATTGGTGAACCACCTTGCGCTGGTATGTGAGGGCAAAGTAAGTTGATTAAAGCAAAGAGATACAAGATTATATAAGAGTACAAGGAATATGAAAGGATACAGCTATAACTGTTTTATTGTTGCTGTTGCGGTTCGATACAGTGCGACTCGGGCAACTGCTCTGTAACGAGTCAGTTGTGTGTCCTTGCTGTCGAACGGTACCAGTCAGGTCAAAGGTCGCTGACCTTTGACTTTCGCGTAACCTCCAGCGGTTACTTCAACCTCCGAGGGTTGACTCGCCGGTGCTTCGATATGCTTTGCTTCGCTTGTGACTTGGTGTTTCGCCACGACAGAAGCGCTTTAAATCAATTGTTTCCAACACTCCCCTTCGCTTCTGGAGTGTCACCGTTGATGACGTGGTCTTGTCCAGTCAGCATCATGCAGTACTCGAATTTCTGCCTTCCCAGCCTTTTGGTCAAGTAGTCAGCTGCCATCTCGGACGTGGGGCAGTATGACAGCGCGGTCGAGTTATGCCATGTGATCTGCTTCAGGCTTCTTGAGGTAGGTGGCGAGCTGGCTTGCGGAGTATGATAGATCCGGACGGCAGGTGACAGCTGCGAAGAGGAGGCATCCCAGCTTCCTCTGGTAGTCGCGTATGCCGGCGGGCTTGAGTAGAGTAGAGCCTTCCTTGTTGTTTCCTGCCGTGTAGCGGTATGGCGTGGAGATGGCAGTCGGCGTAAGTGCGAAGCGCTTGGCGATGGTGTCAGCGTATTTTGCGGCGCTGAGGTAGATCGCATTTTCTTCTTCCTGGATGTTGAGGCCGAGGTATTGTGTGACGGTGGACGAGACCGTGAGTGTGAGATCCTTCTGTAGCTCCCCTTCGAACCAGGTTGTGACACTGTCGGTCGAGCCGATATAGAGAAGGTCGTCTACGTAGACAATTAGCAAGATGTAGTCGGTGCCTTTTGCGAGCCGATACATGCCTTGGTCGTGAGGTTGCTGGCGAAATCCGATGCGAATGAGTCTTGCGTGCAGGTACTGCTGCCACAGCCTCGGAGCTTGCTTGATGCCATAGAGTGACTTGAGTAGCTGACAGACGTGGTTGGAGTCCGTGCTGGAGCCATGCGGTAACTCGGCGAAGATTTCTGCGTCGACAGGTGCGTAGAGAAATGCGTTGGCGACGTCAATTTGCTGCAGCCTCTTCTTCTTCATGGCGGCGATCGCGAGGAGAATTCGTAATGACGTGTGTCGGCTGACCGGAGTGAATGCTTCGGTGAAGTCGCGTCCGTGTTCTTGGTCGAAGCCGCGTACGACCCAGCGCGCCTTAAATTTGTCGATGGTGCCGTCTGCCTTTGTCTTCACACGGAAGACCCATTTTCCGGTGAGTATGGTCTTGTTTTGTGCCGCGCTGATGGGAACAATTTTCCAAGTGTTGCGCTCCTCTAGTGCTTTCAGTTCCCTGTCCATGGCTTCGCGCCATTTTTCTCTATGCTCCCCCCCCAGAGCCTGCTGAACTGTGGCAGGCTCCTTAGGAATCGCCGTGCCGTGAACCGCGGTGACGAGGCCGAGTATCTGGAGTCCACTCTGTGTGTAGCGGGGGAGTGTTGTATCCTCGGGATAGACTGCTTCGTCTCCCGTTTCTGGATCGGGTATGAAGTTTGGTCCTATGCGTTCTGCTTCGTTGGTGTTGACTTGTGCAGGTGTAACGTAACCCTCGTCGGCGAGGTCGTAGAAGACTTCGGCGTTGACGCTTTCGCGAGGATTGTCGTCATCCATCGGTATGTCCATCCAGCAGTATGGGAGTGGTCCGGCTTCTTCCGAGGCTCCATCTACGTTTTGCTCGTCCAAGTCAGCTTCGTCGGCTGCCGAAGCGAAGGCTCGGTCTCCACGAAAACCATTGGTGAGGTCCCGCTCTTCTGCCAAGTTGGCTTAGTAGGAGTCGAGGGTGAGTCGTTCGTAGAAAATGACATCACGTGCTGCCACTGTTTCCTTTGTGTGAACGTCGAAAATCTTCCATGCGTTGTAATTCTTTTCGATGCCCAGGTGTAGTCCCCACTGTGCGCGTTGAGAGAATCGGCCGGCTCGTGCAGCTGGGGGTCGGTACTGTACCATGCAGCCGAAGACGCGCAACATTTTTGTGCTGCCCAGTTTTCCTGTCCACAGCAGATGCGGTGATGCGTTGTTCGGGAGCGATGATGACGAGAGCAAGTTGTGCAGCATCACAGCATGGTCCATTGCTTCGGGCCACTGGTGGTTGGGTAGCCGCATGCCACGTAGTAGCTTGCGCATGGTGTTCTGGAGAGTCCTGTTCATCCTTTCTGCTACACCCTGCTGTTGATGGGCGTAAGAGAGGGAGATGAGCCTCTTGATTCCCATTTCTGCCAGGTAGTCCTTGAAGCGTTGTGAGGTGTATTCTCCGCCTCCATCTGACTGAAAGCTCTTTAGTTTCACCCCGGATTCTCGTTCTGCTGCTGGAAGCCAGGCAACGAAGGCTTCGAAAGCCATGTCGCGGCTCGGGAGATTCAGGTGCCAGACGTATCTTGTGGCGGCGTCAATGAAGGTGATGGTGTAATTGTAGGCTCCTTGTCCTGGTACGCGATTGTACAGGATGTCGCTGTACACCTTTTCGAGTGGTGCGTAAGCTGGTGCGCTTGGGTTGTGGTGAGGGACGAACGGCTGATGCGGTAAGTCGGCTTCAGGACAGGTGAAGCATGTTCCTCTGACTCGTTGGAGTTCTCTCCCGTCGTGCAGTAGTAGTGAATCTTTGTCGAGCACTCCTGCTCTTATCGTGTTGTTTAACGTTGTGTTGCTTGGGTGTCCCATCCGTGCATGCCAGATGTCTTCGCTGGCGCGATGTCCGGGTGAGCATCGATACATGTCGGAGTTGGAATAGAAGCCGGTGGTGAAGTTGGTGCTGCGGTGTACTTCTCGTGGAGTCGGAGTTAACTGTTGTGCGGGTGTCGGTGGCGAATCGTCGATAAGGATTGGTGTCGTTGAAGGACCAACGATTGGCGTCGTTGTTGTTTCTGTTGCCGGTGTTGTTCCTGCTGCTGCTGTTGTTGTCTCTGCTGCTGCCGTTGTTGTCTCTGCTGCTGCCGATGTTGTCTCTGCTGCTAACGCTATTGTTCATTCTGCCTGAGGTATCGTGTGAGAGTGCCAGAAACCGCCGGGGCTGAAGTCTGGGTCAAGATCTGGAGGGTGTGTCCAAGGAGCAAAGTTGACAATGCCGTCGCTGTCGGCAGTGCCAAGGTCTGGGACGAAGTCGAGGACGAAGACGTTGTTCTTCAATACTGCCTTGCAGATGTAAAGTCCGCCCTTTCCGTGGTACAGTTTGAATTCTTGGGTGGAGCTGTCTGCCTCGAGGTGGATCCCTTTCGCCATTAATTGACTGATGCTTAGTAAGTTGTAGCCGAGTCCTTCTGCTATTAAGACCTTCGTCATTTGCAGTATGACGTTTGTCTCCCGTGACTGAAGTTGAACCACGCCTTGTCGTCGTATGCGTAGGTTTTGGTTGTTGGCGACGGTGATGACTACCTTGCGTTGGAGTTGGTACTCTCGCTGCACGAAGCGTCCTGAAGAGCACATATGCTGCCCGCAGCAACTGTCCAAGAACCAAGTGTCTTTTCCGGACGGCTCACTTTGGGCGATAGCTGCATACGTCGGGTTTGGTTGAAGTGACTCGCGGCGGGGCGTGCTGTTGTCGAGTTGTTCTTCCGGTGAGTAATGTGGCGGTGACTCGCTGATGCAGGAGTCGGTCAATCTTGCCATGCAGCTGACGATGTTTCTTGCTCCTTGTGCAGGTTGTCCTGTTGAGGTCGTTGAGACTTGTACTTGAGTGGTGGGATTCGCTTGTGTTGAGGCGACTTGACTGCTCGAAGGTCGAAGTTGCCGCTGCGCCGATGTTGACTGCTATCGGTTGGGGCAGTATGTGCGGGGATGTCCTGACGTCTTGCAGATATGACAGAACGGAGGTACGGGCTTTGGTTGATGTCGATTGTTGTTGTTGTTGTTGTAACGCCGTTGAGTGTGAAAAGCGAATTCCGGTGCTGACGTCTTCTTCTTGAGTCGTTCTTCTTGCAGGTCCATGTCTTGCTGCTCGGCGTGAATTTCAGCGCAGAGTGCTGCTTCGGAGATTTTTCCGTGAGCTCGGAGGATGGCTCGGGTGAAGCACCATTGAGGCCCGAGGCCGCCGATGGGGACTGTTACGAAGGCTTCTTCAGCTATTGTTCCTCCGCATCGAAGGAGTTTGTCGCGCAGTTCGCGACAGCGACT